GAATTACATATGTTGCATAAGCAGTTCTCCTGGAGGCGGAATCTGTTTAGATAGGCGGGAAACCTACCATCATTGGTAATTATTTCGTTAAGGTCCATATCATTCATAATAGTCATTTTTTTCCTTAATACGTATATGTCTTAAATAATTAATATTTTTATCAGATGTCTCCCACCTATCGTTCCGTTGTTTCAACAAATGATCTTTATAATGGCAATAGTCTTTTTCCTTGAGTCTTGAATATCATGACAAATGGTTCCATTCCCCAGGGCAGCCTCTTTGGCTAGTGCATGGTCCCTCTCATTACCACACACTCCAGAGTGCGCTTTAAACCAGTGCAGATCTGTGTTTTCTTCGAAGTTTTCTATATAAACATTTGATTTCATTCATAAGATTGCTATGAGTCGGGTGAGAGAGCGCCAGCAGGGCAAACAAAGCGTCTGAATATAGATTAGTTGAATATGATGCTTGTAAATGTGAGTCAATCCATTGGAAGACTTCTTTTACAGAATAAATTTCTGCCAGGTGTACAGAATTAGTAGCTTTCATATTCACATTTTAGAATCAATCTCTTTACCATGAAAACGTACCACTAAGGCTTTATAAGGTATAAAGCTTACTAAGGCACAAAGTACCACTAAGGCTAGTACCACTGAGGCTTTATAAGGCATTTTCTTCGTCCTTTTTTCATACCTTCGTGGTGTAACGGTAGCGCACTCGGCGCGTATTCGAGAGGTCCAGGTTCGGATCCCGGCGAGGGCATTGCTCCTTTTTCTCGTCTCCAGCACCAAAATAACCTTATTCCTCCACAGTGGTGGCTGAATCGCACTTTAAAAGAGGAAGTATTATAAAGTATTTTCTCTTTCTTTTCTGCATGCCTTCGTGGTTTAACGGTAGAACATTTATCGGAGCGTATTTGAGAGCTCCAGGCTTGTTGTTCACGTCTCCAGCATTAAAATAACATAATGACTACAACTTTATTAACAGAATGGCGTTGCTACAAAACACTGTCTAGAAGGAGAACAACAAACCAAACAGCTTTAGTAAAGGATATGACCTTCCCTAACTGCAATGGCTGCGTTGCAACAACAGATTATGTTATAGTTCTTGAGTAAGAGTTCCCATTCTTCAAGAAGCATCTGTCTCACTTGTCTGGTGTTCTCCGCGGGGTAAGATCGTGCATTCTGTGGATATCTTCACTTTCCAGGAGCTCCTCAGTAGTATGAATCATGCGTGGCATACATTGTCATCCATAAAAACAATGTCGAGAACAATGGCACGCCGGAAAAGACGCATGTCGAGGAGGATTACTTCGCCCCATTTACGTTCTCCGGTAAGTGAAACTCTGTCGAAAGTATTGCCATACCAGCGCGCCAGGACCATCTTAACGGTCTCTTTATCTGATGTTAGTGGGATCAAAGCGTGTCCTTACCACTCTCTATACCAGCTAGCGTCCAGAACCGTTTGTCACACGGAAGCGGCGCTCATCGGCAAAGAGGACATGACTTCATTTATGAGTGACCAGTCTTTATGCTCTCTACATCACTGTAAAAGTGCCACCGACGGGCTGATATCAATGTTGAGCAGCGTTCAGGACAGCGAGGGAATAAGCCACCAAGCCACCCTTATGAAGTCGTCCGTCTACAGTAAACCAGATACTTTGTAGAGACATTAGGATTATTTTTGAAGAAGGAAAGATGAAAAATGAGCAACGCCTTCGTCGGGAATCGAACCACGGTCCTCTGGAATACGCGCCCCAGAGTGCAAACCACCACACCACGAAGGCATGCTAGGAAGGCGGGAAAAATACCTTATAACTTGTCATTCGGCTCCATGCTCAAATGCCGAGCAATATGTCCCGCTGTTTGGTTTTGATCTATATAACGCGCATCCTTTTCTTTATGAAGAAACCTGAAAGATACACGTCCGATACTGTTATCTTCTGAAGTCCTTCAGTCGAAGATTTTTCGAAGGTTTTCGAACAATGGTATACTGAACTGACAAACAATCCGGGGAACAATATGCATTTGAGGAAAGTGTTTGAGGGAGTAAATCTACGAAAACATTTGGTTGTATTCAAGAATGTTACTCTAAGGTTTCGAGAAAAGAGGGACATAATTTGAGATACGAAGTCAGAAGAATAAGTAGTCAGAAGTTTTCTCTTTCTGTAGTCATTTGAAGCCGCGATTTTGAGCATCGAAGGCTTTTGTAAAATAAACCTCATAAAATTAAACAATAAAATCACCACAAAATTTTCAAAAACAGCATAATTGCATAATTTCCGGATTCCTACATTTTCTATTTTTTTCAATCTTTTCTCAATTCAGTTTTTTTTTTTTACTTAAGAGGACTTACACAGCTTTTATTGCCTTTTTTTTTACTAATTTTTTAACATTATTAAAACGTCACTTTCTTCGCACTTACACCACATAAAATTCAACAGCAAATCCCAAAATATTTAAATGTTGCCATTTTAATATACGATCTATTATTTCTTTAAAAATAATAACTGTTGATAACATTTGGTGGCAGCATTCTTTTATTTAAAATGTGATACGGACAAAAAAGTGAGTTTCGAGACTATATAGTTCCTGTTCTAAAAAATACACTTTTACCAAATATTGTAACATAAAAAGGGGCAGTCGTGAAAAGAAATTATATAATGAAATGAGCCATAGACTAGAAAAATTCAAAGCGTTTGTTTAACAATGTTAAAAAATTTATTTGTATTTTTGAAAAATCGATGTTCTGGTAACAGGGTACCCACGAAATAGCGATGGAAGCTACATGACACAAGCAAAAATTTTATCAATAATCTTGTTGCCAGAGGAAACCACAAAATATGATTTAAAATATATTGTTTCGAAGCTGTTATTTTCTTAACGTAACGTATTTCCTTAATGTAGGGATTAGGGATGTAGGGATCCTAATGTAGGGTTTCCTTAATGTGTTCCTTAACGTATTTCCTTAATGTCCTCTTTGGGAGCAAAAACATCAGTATTTGTTTTATGCCTTTTTTATACTGCTGTAAAATGTGAGCAGCCTAGATGATGGAATCCAAACAAATATATGATCGCAGCTGCATGATACGTAATGAATTATATTAATTCACTAAGTTCATACAATTTATTCTTTCCAAGAACTTCTGGACTAGAAGAATTAATTTAGTGACAAAACCAGAAATATTAATTTAGCTGCATTTTTTAACGTTAGTGATATCTCGCCAAAAAATGGTAAACCTGCTCCTACTATTATCATTAAAAAAACTATCACACCCAAGCCAAAGGATAAATTGATATAAGTCTCTAACTGTTTTAGTATGTGTAACCAACTGTATTTAAATTTATTTTCAGGAAGGAAAATCTGAGTTTTGCAGCAAAAATTATGCCACCATGCAACACAGAACATTAAAAAATATTAGATTCGTAAATTTAAAATTTATAAACACAACATTTTTACACTCAATTAACATACATTTTATAACACCATATTTAAAAAAAAAAAGAGAATTGTGGTGCCATCTAGCGCTTAAATTAAATATTAATACAATTTACAGATTTCCACAGAAAATGCATTTATCACGAAAAAAGGGAAAAATTTATTTCACCAGGAAATTAATAATACCAGTTATTAAATTTTTAATAACTGATATTATTAACAATCCACATTTGAAAGATTTTGAGTAAAGCTGAGTTTTGGGGAGAAGTAAACAAGTTTTTTATTTATAAATTTTTAAATAACTATCATATTGTAATTAGGTATCTTACGCCCGAATCTAACAATAAATGGAGTAAAATAATACCAAATGTATTAATCCACGGCCAAATCATATCAATATATATTTTAAAATAACAATAAAGAACTCTAGTGGCGCCATCTCTTGCTGTAAAAACGAAGAAATTCACCCACAAGAAGTTATTGCAGCACTACCAGCAGGCTAGCATTCTTGGGAGATATTAGATAACCACGATATTCTTTATATTATTAATTAATTCTATAAACAAAAAGAAATCAATGCACTGGGGAAAAAAGATTTATTTATTGGCAATTTATTATGGACTATTAATAAAACTTCTTCAGCTATTAAAATAATATATTGTCGACAGATGGCGCCAGCTCTGATACCCAATCGTTCACTGTGAATGTAAAAAAAGAATTACTTTACGCGGTTGAATTGTGCAATTCCATTTTATTTTCTATTCTTTTCACAAAACGGGTAAAAAAAAAAAAAAAAAAAAAAAAACATGCTTTTTTATTTTAATAATTATAATAAAAAAGTGACGGTGATATTTCGATGAAATTTGTGCCCTTAGAAACTAGTGTCATTTCTTGTAGTCAGAGCCTGTTCCGAACAGGCAGCTGCATAGGGCTTCAGATAAGTTGTTTTTACAATCAAAAACTAAGTCGAAACATATTTCGTTTTGAATTAATTACATGCTATATTTACAGAAGGCCGAAATTTTACTGATTGCTTAGGGCTCTAAAAATTGCTGGAACTGGCTCTCCTAGCAGTATAATATTTTCCATTTATCTTCTAATCCCCAAAAATATTGTGTTCATTGGGGTAACAAAATTAGTTATTTTTATATACTTCTGTTACAGTTGACACTTTTTAATTAGTGAAAAAAAAAAAAAAAACTCGTAAACATACAATTATTTTTTAAGCTTTTATTCAAATCCTCAGAATATTGTTCATTGGGGTAACAAAATTAGTTATTTTCACATACTTCTGTTATAGTTGATACTTTTCAATTAGTGGGGGAAAACACTCAACCATACAATTACTTTTTAAGCTTTTATTCAAATTCTCAGAATTCATTGTAAAAATTACAATTTAAAATTTTCACAATGTATGTAGCTAATAAAAGCAGTTTATAATGTTAATATTATGTATGTTGTTTGCAGTATTTCTATTTAAAGCTCATGCAAGTTACTACACTACCTCAGCATACTTGTTTCAATAAATAACAAAACAGAATACTAATAAATTACAACACAAATAAAGCTAAGAAAATGCTTTTATTGAAAGATATATATATGCATAGCCACAAGCACATTTTAAAAAAGTGATGTGACCATCTCATATTTAGAGAGAAATACATAAACATGCCTTGATAGTCAGAAAAAGGTGAGCATTAAAAATCTCATACTCAATGCAAGAAGCATTTGCTTCTTGATGCTTACGACGTACCTTTACGCAAAAAATGTTAAAATAATTTTTTGTTAGAAACATGTCTGAAAGAGCATTTTAAAATATACAATGCACATTCTGACAGAGAGAGAATCATAATTTTAAACGTGATTGTCCAATTTATGGTCGGGATGAAAGATTAAATCCAATTTACAATGAAAGAATATAAGTTTTAAATATACCATAAAGTATACAATCTGTTAAACATATATATAAATATACTTATATATACACATATACACACAATATTCCTGTCAATATGACAAGGACTGAATACAGTATTAAGTATCTGATAACAATGAAGGTGGACGAAATGAAAACAGCACTGTTGCCAAGACAAAAGTGGAAAGATTTAGGCCTAAAGCTTTTATTTTTAGGGCTCACATATGAAAAATAGTTTTTGTTTTACTCAATATGAATTACTGATCTGTTAAAACACAGATCAATAATTTAAATCACAGTAAATTTTGGCAACTCTATGCTTAGAGCATAAGTAAGAAATAAACTTAAGAAAGTTTAGCATTAAGAAAAAAAAAGGCCAATAAACAAAAACTACAGAAAATTTAATTTTACATGCTGGCGTACTTCATTTATGTTAGCTAAAAGAGGGGGGGTCTATAAGAGTTTAACTGTATTTGTATCAATTACTGAAAACTGCATGACTGTACCTCCCATTACAATATGATTTTAATTTATGTATTATTATCTACTTTCATATTTTATTTTTATTTTTAAGTTTAAAGTTCAAAAGAATCAGATTACTTAATATAAAGAAATAATAACAATAAGCCATAAAGAATAAAATTTGTCAATTTTGATGTGAAAAATGTACTCAAATGAATTATTTTAAAGTCAAATACAAAGCTGTCATATTAAATCAATCACGTTTTTACACATTTTCCTTAATAACCTCAAACATGTACAATTTTTAATGAATGCAATATTTTAAACATAACTTTTTATTAAAATTAAATTTAATGACATTGATATCAAAAATAAGACTCAGCACACCTGATGTAAGTTAAATCAATTAATGACCTGAATTAACAAAATTCTTACTTAGCAGTTGTAATAAAAATCTTACTTTCAAGAATAATACAAATGCATGTCTTGAAAAAATTACAATGCCCAAATTAATTTACTACTCATCTCCATAAACATTTTCACAGAAATAAATGTTTGGCACACAGAAGAAAGTGTTTCACAAAGCAAATTTTGATCAATTAGTAAATGATATTTTACAATTTAAACAGTTCTTTAAAATTGCTAATTAAGTAACTACCAACATCCTCCAAACAACAGTTAAAACATGTGTAGTAGATACAATTTTATTGCAAAAAAAAAAAAAGGGTGCCTAATTTTAAGAAATATTTATGAAATTAGAGATGACAGATTCTGCAAATCAGGCTAAAAGCCTCTTTATGAAATCAGATCAAAATTTTATAAATATGGAAAATTGTTCTGTTTTAATTCAGTATATTTAAGATTATTGTATTTTTACCTAGAATTTTATTTAATCAACTAGCATTAAATTTTACTTTATTCAGATTTCTCAACATAAAATTTTTCGATACTGTTCTGTCTCTCATCGGAACCGCATCCAGAAATGCACGTATTGTATGTATGTATTCATGTATATGTATGTAGGTATGCATATATGTGTGTACACACACACATACGTACGTACATGTGTATGCACAAGTGTATATGTATATAGGCACATACACAGGTGCATAAATTCATTCACTGAATCCGGTCCTGTTAACCGAATAGTACCAATGTTTCTCATTTTGCAAAATGAAGTACTAACAGGGAACACTATTGTCAATAAAAATATCAGTATTCCATCAGGCATGGAATTATTGTTCTTTCTATACTTAGAATTCAATAATATGCTTATAAACTTAGGAAAAGATTTCCTAACAATTTTTTTTTTACATAATTTTCTAATATACATTTCTAATAAAAATGCAATATTTTCACAAAGCATCCCAAATTAGGAAATTTTGATTAAAAACAATTTTATGCACATAAAGAACATTATTAGTACTTTTTAGTTCAAAGAAAGCTCAATAATTTCAAACTGTGAAAACAAACAATGATAAATATACTTGCAAACAATCTTTACAATTGCATAGCTATAAACTTTAAAATATGACACATTGGGAGATTCTCGCACAAAAACTGGGAGTTTCTGCCATTTAAAAAAACTTCAGACTGATGTCAATTCATTTTATCATGCATGATTCAAGGTACTGAACATTTTACAATGTTATTTTAAAAGGCAATATATAAATTATGTATTCTAAATCTTGCATTTTTTAGCTAGTTTCATTTTGTGAATTTTTCAACACTTTTATATAAGAAAACCTTGAAAGCTTTAATTTATTGAAGTATTTTTAAATACGATATAAATAAAATAAACACATAAATTATTGTGAAGATAAACTTAATAATGTATCTCATATTCACATAAATATAAATATTTATTAATTAAACATTGCTTAAATCTTCATCAAAAGTTCTAGGAATGCCCACTGTAGATTAAGGCATTTTCAGATCAAATAAAATTTAGCAGAAAATGTTAGGCTGAAAATCACTAGGGGTGACAGAACAAAATTTGCACAATTTAATAAATTTCATTAATTTATGTAAAACATATTCCTCAGCAGAGCCAAAAAATTAAAAACTGGGAGATATTGGCAGTTATGCAATTATCAACACAGATATCTTATTCTATATATATCTTAAAGTCAGAAACAAATTTCAGCTAAGTCAAGAATACCAAATATTTTAACTTCAAACTCTTAAAACACAGTAATTTGTTATATGATATGATTAAGCTTTTCTAGCTAGAAAAAGGAACATTTTCTAGACTGGTACAGTGTGCACAATATAGTGGTCCACTAGATATGAATGAAATTTGATCGATGATCTAACATGTTTACATTTACTAAATATAATAAGCTACATATCAACAATGAAAAGACAGGCCATGAAAGTGATGGTGATATTACATACTACAAGTATTATAAGGAAATGTGAAAATCATGAATAATAGCAAGTAAGTGATCAGCCCCCCTCCAATAATTTCAGTAGAAAATCGCTATTTTTGGAAAGGAGAATTTTATTTGAGTTAATTGTAGATCACAGCTGCCAACCTTAAAATATGAAAAACCAGGAAGTTCCTAGCACAAAAACCAAAAGTTACTGAGAGGTTTTCAAGCAGTGTGTTCATTCCCTTAATGGTGCGTAATTCAGGTTTTTGACGTATTTATAATACGATTCTTGTGTAAATTTAATTAAGATATTCTAAATTTTATATTCTTACACTGATTTCCTATTGCAATTTTCTAACACTTCTACACCAAGAAAATTTAGAGAAGGAAAGTTTTTATTTATCGAAGTACTTTTAAATATGTGAAATAAAACTAATAATTAACGTATACATTATTATGTGGATAAATGTAGCAATCTAGCATTTATTGACGTAAAAGAAAATGAAATATAAATATTAACAAATAAAATTCTGGCTGAATCATTATAAAAGGTTGTACAAATGCCCACAGTAAATTAACATCTTCACTCCCAGGATATCATATAAATGTTTGGTGCAAGGTCATCATAAAACATGGCCCACAAATATAGGGGTCCTGTGTTAATCCATTTACATTTCACTTCTACGAATGATTGTCTTAGGGGTCCCTGCACACTGGTTTGCACAAAAGCCTGTAATGTTGTTATGGCAGCTCTTGTTTCATGCTTTGCAAGCAGTTTTAAATTTGATTATGTCAATATGACAATAGGATATAACATGCATCCATATTAATTTTTTAAACTTAATTTTACTGCACAGAAATAATTTAGATATTTAAATATAGTCATTATTACTCTTTTGAATTGTTATATTAATTGTAAGTATTAGAATTTTCTGTTTATATTATGAGAAATTACATTTTCTGATAAGGTCACATAGAGGTTCTTTGTCTAAGGTGAATAATTTCAGATTGCAATAGTACCTTTTCAGTCCACAGGTGAAATCCTGCTGCAATGAGCTGCATTTTTTAATGAATCTGGTTGCAGCTTCAAAGGTCACTCCAAGGGACAAACAGATGAAAGAAGTCTTTTCATCAGGGTCAGGAGATGGACACCTTTGTTACGTATGTGTGAGCGAATCTTCTCCCACCAGGAGTTCAGTGCAAGTAATGACACAGTGTGATATAAAAGGTGGTTTCCTGAGAAGAGACAGGACTTTTCTTGCTGGAGCTATGGGTATGTTGGCCCGCTAGAACTATCTCTCCTCATGTATAATGCGACAGAGCATTCTTCCTGTTAACAAATTTCTGAAATTATGGGACTGAATGAATTCAAGTCCCACATCACCTGGATATGGCACTTGTTAATGTTTTTATTTTATTAAAATCCATGTTAGTGTAATAACTTGAGTTAGAAGTTCATTTAATAATTTAAATAACATAAGAAGAATCCAAATATTGCAATAAAAAGTATATTTTACAGGATATTAGGCTTAAATTCAAAACATACTCAGGCACACAGTGACATTCGGATCTTTAAGGTCGCAACGAAATTTCATTCTCTTGATGCTGGAAGTGAAGAGGTGATTCTGATCAAATAAAATCTAATAACAAAAATTTCCAGTAGGCGTGGATTGATGGAATGTGCACAATAAAAGTTTCGGAAATTCAATAAATGTCCTTTATTGTCAGGAAACATTTTCTTTAGTAAAGGCTGGAAGATTTAATGATTTATCAAGCAATATGATTGACAGCTATGACACGCATAAGAGAAAAAAAAATTCCGGTGTTTTCTTCATAATGTAGTAATTGTCAGAAAAACAAATATTTATATACAAATAATTGGCAAAATTCTATTTATTTTCTGTGTTAGTGGTAATTAAGAAGCTTGCTGCATATCAAGTGAAAGAAAAGAAGCCTCTCATTTTCAGAAGCAAAATTTTTTTTTTCTTGAAATGCTCAGAACATTTTCATTATTATTACAGAAAGATAAGATTAGATCCCCTCTACTATTATTCACTTTAAAGTTTACTGAATCATCTTGCATTTAAATATTTATAAGTTTAAACATAAGCAGTAAGAAGACACATTTCACAAGGATCAAGTAGTCAAATGAATTTAGATATTTTAAAATTGAATGGTCCAAATGATTTAAAACAGTTAAAATTGGAATTATGCACGTATTATTAAAAGTGACCATTTCTCACTTTGATACAGAACAGAGCTGAATACTGAAAGTAAAATATTTATGTTAATCACTTCAGAAAAGTATGTTTTGTAACAATGATGAAGTAATGTTTCGCACTGAAACGCTTCAAGTGCATAACGAGACGTGTGCTATTATGCAAGCACAGGAAATTTTCATTCAAAAATACTTCTTAAAATTACATTTACATTAGAATTATTAGAGACATTAACAAAAGCAGCATCTGTGCTTGTATTGAGATTTACAGTTTGTACTTCCTTAATTTCAGACTCTGATGCCTGACAAGCTGAGTTACAGAAATTATTTCCTGCTGTTTTAATTTATCTAACATTTGATATGGTGTGCAATGTTTCACATTGTGTTGCTTCTCTTGGCTAGCAAATGTGACAACAAAATCAGTAACAATGAAATTCTAACCATATAATAGCAATGATAAAGAATACATTTCCAGATTTAATCTCATATCAATGCAGATGGGGGTAGACCACATTTTCTCCTACAAGACAAAAGTTTTTATTTCAGACTAGGGATGGCAAAAATCATATTTCAAATTATTTTGTTTTGATTTTTTAATGGAAACAAATACCTTGCCTTTTATGATGCTTCAGAATTATAATGCTTTATAAAAACAAGTTTTAATAATATAATGCACAAATTCATAATAATGTGTTTAATATATATTATTAGTTAGAAACACAAAATTTTATGCTGTTTTATAAATTATGTTCAGAGCTATAAGAGTTTCAATACCATATATTTCTATATTTAGGCCAAAAAATTTTAACCACTTTTGTTTTTTATTTAAAAATTTTTCTTTTTAAAAGCAACATTTTGTAAGAATTAGAAAATCAAGTGATCTTCCCCCTTAAAAATTACATAAACTAACAAATTAGTTTTGTTATAGAATATGTGACAAAAATCTGAAATGCAGCTAACTAAGAAAGCAATTTCTGTAACATTTCTTAACAACTGACTGAAAAACTGAATATTATGAAAATGCATTAAAATATCAAGACACGTCACAAAATATATGAACACAACCTGAGGCATTTATATTTAAGTACAGCTGAACACAGAAGTGAAGATACATCATTACTTGAACAATATTTTTAAATTACTGACAATAGTAAAGTACACACAAGTATATTAATGCTATTTCCTCTTTCAGAATTATAAAAATCTTGCTGTTTTTTTGTGCTGTACAGTAGGTACCACTTGATGTGATTGTACTTGTTCACATCTATTTTGATAATATTTAATGATGAGAAAAGATATCCTTCAAGATATCGATGGAATTTAATTTTATATAACTACAACCATAAACATTAAATAGGTTGTTTTGGCAGCACTTTATTTAAGAAAATGCAAAAGTATGTTTATGAACTGTTCATAACGTTTCTGGAATTAATTTGATCGATGGCATTAATATTCAGTAGATATCCCTCACTTGAGGAGAAAAAGCCAATGTAAAATTTTAAATTAAGAGAAAAACAATCTTAACTTTGTCACAGTTATTTTCAAGAATACTTTTCCCCAAAGAAAAACTAACTCTGCAGAAATATCCCGCCCAACCTCTTGAAAAAGTATCTGATTGCCTTCGGCCTTCAAAATTGGCAGAGTTATCCAAAATCTACATCAAACTTAGGTTGCTTTTTTGCCTAGTTTTGGTGACATTTTTCTGTCACTTGGCAATTTTTATAATATACTTTATTTGGTGAATTTATCTTTCATTTGGCAATTTTAACTTAAAATAATTATTCTACAGTACTTTGATCATATTAACTCAATGGTTGATCACAATTAGTAATGTATTTTTTACATTTCCTACATGCAAATGGGCGGAGTAAAATCATAGTATACAGTACGACCTTGGCATGATTTTCAAAACTGCTGCCAAAAACATGACTTGTTTACCGCTCATCATAATGCTGCCAAATCCTGTGTGTACCATATACTAGGATTAAACCTGGGTGGGATTTTGGGAAATCGATAATATCTGAATGATAATATGAACCACAATCACATTAAGTGACATCTAATGTAATTAAATTACAAAGAGCACACATTCTTCTCAACATTTCTGTAGCATGACATTCTCAAATACGTATGAAAAGTAGATCTTGTTACATAATAAAAGAACAAGCCAGCATCAATTTAACAAATCAACAAGATTGACCTGAAACGTAAAGACATTCTTTGTGAAGAACAGGTGTCCAAAACATGGCACACACCTTAATCCATATGTGTACACTTACCGAGTCTGTATGCATAACACAGCAATTTTACAAGTTCAGAAAATATTAATTCATTTAATGATGCAATTCACCATTTTTCTTATTGGGGACATCACAGCAAAATGTGAATTCAAAAAGCATATAAATTAAGGAGATTGTACCATGCCTTCTGACGCATCGGACGTTCCAGAGCTTTCTACTGACCCAGCCTTCTTCAATGGCGCAGTCTTTTCAAAGTTCACGTCATGTTTAAACAAATGGTCCCCACGCACTAAGCGCTTGCTGTTTGGCAACATGCTCTTTTCGAAGCCAGGGTGGCGCACTGCATGCTTATTCAAGTGATCACTGCGCATGAAGCGCTTGCTGCACATAGGACATGGAAAATTCTTTTCACCAGTATGCGTTCGGTTGTGTCTTGCCAGTTCGTCTGACCGGGCGAAACGTTTCCCGCAACGTTCCCAAGCACAAGCAAAAGGACGCTCACCTAAGGAAACAATTAAAACATCAGTTCAGAACTTTAAAACACATTTAAAATAATTAATAACAAATCAAAAATATATAGCACTTTAAAAGATTATTCATGCATTTGTAACCCTTCAAAGAAAAAAGATATATTCTGCATAGAAGTAATCTTTAAAAAATGCTCAGTTCTAACCTCCTGCAACTAAAGTTAAACACACAGATTCTTATATAATTCTAGCAAAAAAGCAGAGACAAACTCTACCCAATTCTGTTTTTATATTAACTTCTTTTATTCACCTAAGAAAGGAAGTTCACAATCTTTTCATAAATCTATTTTGCTCTAACCCATTTTAAATGGCATTTTTTTAGAATCCATTTGAATTCAAATCTGAAAAAAGTGTTCCCTCTGAAAAATATGTAAGATGGTTTATGTATTATCCTGCTAACCATGAAATTGCGGCCAAGTAGTGTGACATAACACCAATTATGGAAAAGTGTGATGTTAATAACACACTCATAACATCTGTGATTTCATTTGATGTACCCTTGATTAGCCACCTCTTGTTTTTATGAACAAGGATATAATTTAACTGTTATTGTTATATTTTTTCACTGCACACTGCATTTTGAAAAATCTGGGACCTGCCTTTTACAGAACAGCAAGTAGTAGATTATTTTCAACGCTAAAGAATCAAACCCCTAAAAAAAAAAAAAAAAAAAAAAAAAAAGAAAGAGAGAGAGAGAGAAGAAGGGGTGCATTAATGGACACGATATGGCCGACAAAACATTAATAGATTGGAAAATACCTGTCGGAAGTTTGTACTCATACTACTTTAACCACTTCATTTCCCCTGAAAGACTTGTGGATTTGAAAACTGTTGTCAGGCATCATCACACACTCTTCGGTGTTAAGCGAAGTTAATATTCGGTGTTAAGTGTGGCCTGGATTGTTAACCTGAGAGCTACTTGTCACGTCATCTTTTCCATCCCTCCAAAAGAAGCAAAAATGAAAGAGAGATGATTTATAACTTAATTAGTCATGATCTCTGCACAGCGGTATTGCATCAAGATCGCACACTTACAAAGACAGGAGCCAGGAAAGCACTTTGGCCCCCTTCAGCTGGCACTGCAGTTTAACCATTCCTCATTTAAAAGCATGCTTTTTGGAGATCATCTTTGTTACTTTTCAGATAAGAGATTCGAGAAAGAATGTTTCTACTGGTATCCAGACAAGTTGGCAATTTTTTAAATAGGGTCTTAACAGCTGATCAGGAAATCTGATGATGGAATTCTAAAATAATGGACTTGAAAGCAAAAAATGAACGGGAAAAAATGTATTGATTTTGCAAAAATCGCCAAAATTTTGGTAAACTGCATCGGGAATTTTGAACAAACCTAATGACAAGATTATTTTCCAATCTATCTGATGCCAAAAACAAAATTTCCAATGATTAGCCCCAATGATAAGCGCCGATAGATGCGAAAAATCCGTAAAAATGCGTTTCCACAATAAATAAAATTAAAAAAAAAAAAAAGTATCGAACATGTCTTTTCCGCCGGATGAATGTGTGCAATTACTTCGTAAATGCACGGCTTAGGCGCCATCTGTTGAAGAGAAAAAGAACTAAACTAACGAGATAATACGCGAAAGACAAGCGAGCTGATCGGAATTCAAATCCTTAGGTAAATCGACATATATGAATAAAAGTTAAAATAAATAAATAAAAATAAAAATTTTTTAAAAATCTGAAAGAACAAATAGGTTTTTTTTAACGTTTTGTGCGTTACGTTTATTTATTAAATATCATGTTCTTTGCACTTAAACCACAACACTCAATTCAACAACAACATAACAAAATAATTTAAAAAGAGTATGTATACCTATAGAATTTCCGATACACTGTCTCGCGCGTTGGAGACAAAAATGTTTTTTTCGCATAGTGTTGAAATCGTTGTGTTGTTAGTCAAAAAATTCCAAATGCTCATATTCGAGTGGAAAACTACGTTATTCAGAATTTTATGTCTCTACGTACCGTTGTTTTTTCACAGTGCGACAAACATACTTACATTCACGCAGATCTTTCATTTAATTTCTTTAAATATAATGCAGGGGTCTAATATTTGGTGGCAACAATTTGGAAAGTGAAACCGTTTATAGTAAACCAACGCAAAATGCCAAAACGAAATTAATATCCCTTCTGGGCAAATTTCTATTTGAGGCTAATAAATAAATCATGTACTTTTCTTTAAAAAATTGACAAGACACCATTTATTGATTAATATAAAAATGTTTGTTGAAAATGGTGAAGGAATCAACGGCAAGGGGGAGGAGTAAGTCAATCTGAAACTTACTTTTCACTGAACTATCGGAAATATCTTTCAGAAACGTCAATAGTTCACTATTAATTTCGAACCAGAAGTTCAGGAAGGCGATCTGCTTATAATATTGATAACAAAAATTCATTTCTTAAAAAAAAAACCGAAGATACTGAGATACACTAACTCACTTTACTAAAGGGCAAGATGAGTCACAATAAAAATTAAAAAAGCGTCAAAGAACGTTTTATCAAAAAAGATGCAGCTGGGATGTATTTACATTCTCCAAAAATTCGATGACGCAAGAGCTGCAGTTATCTGCGCGGATAACAATGACGAAGCGAAAGGAAACAAACGAAGGCTTGTTGAAGAGAAAGAGTACGTTAAAAATAACCTATCAGCTGCGCCATTTTGGTTTCGAAAAAATAACTACAATAATTTATGACTGAATTTTAGAAATAGAAGGAAACTATATGACTAGAAGGAAAATATACCCACATAAAATTTCACTTCAAAGTTGGAAGGCATTCTCAACATCGCATTCTAGAAGAACAAACCCCAACCTTTCCAAAATTCGAAAAATACATACATAAATTTCTTTAAATTTATTGTTTAACTCGCTTTATAAATTAAACACCAAAATGCACGGAAAATGAAAATGTTGATAAATACCAAAACTAAGTCGTATTCTATATTCATAATGTATAATTATACTTAACAGATAAATAAAAGGCTGATCTCATTGTTCAGCGAAGCTATAGAATTCTTCCTTGGTTGAGGACCCTTGCATTAAACTCACTGAAAAACTAATAAGCTAGCTACTGGGGAAGAATTTCAGTTAGCTTGAAACATTTTAAACTAAGAACACCAGAATGCTTTCACACGCTAATAAGACTATTCAATAGACAATAATGGTGCGGTGTACCTAACAAAGTTCTACCATGTGTACCATGGTGTACCTAACAAAGTACATAACAAAGTTCTAAATGCCACATCTAAATTTCTACATGTGTGGTTCAGCGGTATTTCTATCTAAATCAACATTCGAGCTAGTTTAAAAAGGAATTTATTAGACTAGACTACAAAATAAATTAATCTAACCTAGAATCTATTTAACATCTCATCAGCAACATTCGAGCTGCATCAAACAAATTAAAAGCAAGTTGCAAAGTTTACATTGTTGGCACTTATCCCCTTCTAAATCAGTGAGGTTCTACTGATTTTCACGTTGCCATTCAGAGGCAGAGAAAAGTGTCAATTCAAATCCGAACCAAAACAATTAAAATAAAGGTGGTATACAGTTCAGTAACTTTAATGAGAAAAAGAGGAAGGAAGAGAGGAATTGTAATTTTTCTTTAAAAAATTTGACATATGCCAAAATGCATAATACATACAGCCTAAATCTTTCATTTAGTTCACGATTCATCTTTGGTTACAAGTCGAACCTTATTGCAGCTATCAGCGTCTCGGAAAATTTCCAGAAGCCTCATCAGACCCATTCGGTCTTATTCCCATATATTTCTGCTTTTATGGTGACATGCTATAAATTGACCAACACAGCCGCGACTAAGAGCGCCAACACGCATGCGCCAATCGGCCCGATTTATTCACGAAACAGTAAGGTTGGACATGAATCATGTAGTAAGCATATTTTCCGTTCTTATTTCTTCTCTGTTCATTTTCGTAGCGTCACAGTAGCTTTAAACAGCACAAAATTAAGGCAAAAATTACTTTATGTAATCTAAGCTGAAATATGATCATCATTTATAATTAACTGTTTTATTACATTGCGTTTCATTTTGTGCATTTATATACTGGTAAAAATACAAGTGTTTTCAAAACTTAATAGTTATACTACTTTATTGTATAATTTTTATTATATTAATAGAATTATATGCATGATATTATATTCATAAATGTATTTATGAATTCTAATGATATTATAATAATTTTACAACAGTGAATAATTATTAAACTTATAATTAATAATTATTATATATGTATTTTATCTTGAAACTTAAATGTATGTACATTAACACATGCTGAAAAAACAAAATTTCTAAATAATTAGTCATATTAATTTATTACAGATGATTATACTACAATAAATAATCACATTTCTTTCTGATTTTTGCGCTAAAAATCTATATACATTATTATTTCATATTGGGTAGAGGGGAACATGAAATTTATTTTAGAAAGCAAAAAAAATAAGGGGGTGGATATTCTTGTAATACTGACAAATGTCATGTTACAATACTAGCAAATGTCACCTTAAACCAACTATGATCTGGACAGAAATTGAAAACCAGTTGACCACTTTTTCTATAGTACAGGAAATATACTTTTGCTAAAAAATATAGTTACATGATTTTTAGTGATCGTATTTTCTAAAGCAAATGATGGAGTATGCACTATTCACATAAAATCCACAAATTATAGAAAAAAAATCAACATGCTTAGTTTTCAAATCGATACGAATCTTCGTTTCTGCTCACACGAACCAAATGTGCGAAAAGCATTTGATGACAGGATCCACCGTGACTTTCAGTAGGAAGTTCCCTCTTTCCGACGTCCCCTATATGACGCCTTACCAGTGGCGCATAATTTCCACTCCTTTTGGACGATTCTAAGTGTTTTGGCAGAATGCCAACCAAGGCTGCGCCGGCAACGGTTGAACTATACAGGGATATGTCAAATCAATCT